CCCCAATGCACAACTGCCACGTGGATCTTTCTCATAGGGTGTTTTACAGCTACGTGCCAACTCTCCCAAAACAAGGAGTTGTTTATCACAGGCCACGGCGCTTATCAGCGCCATCTTGTAATGGTGACCACGGTCCGCTGACACGGCTCACCACACTTCCTCTTTCAGTAACACTTCTTAATTAACTTAAGCCAAAAGGTACATTTGATACTTAGGGCCATAGAGATTAGTTGATGAATAGGCAGGTGACTAAGATGCTAGTAAATATTTTTTAGAGGTTTCTCAGAAAAGCAGCTTCATTATCCTTCAGTGGAGATAGTCTCTTTCTCTTGAAAATTAGGGGGGAAAAGACATAATTCTTCTACAGTTGCTACTGCTTTCTTATAACTGAAAAGTATGTAATTTAGGCTTAAGCAGAAAGCACAGGAGAAATTAAGAGAAACTAGATTCTGAGTGACATTGTTTAACCACTAGATCATGACTGACCAGAAACTTATTCTTTTTAGGATTTTACATGTGTTAGTAAAAATGTTGACTGTGTCATTTGAGCTAGTTTAAGTCATGTATTTTGTTTCTTGCAACCTAAACATTCCTAAAAAAGTACATCTTTCAGTTTGTGGTTTTCCTTCCTTTTAGGTGGTTTATGCCAATCTATGTTATAATGGCATATGTTTCTTACTTCGTATCAGGCCAGAAGTTTGAAACTTTCAAAGCTGTACATTCGGTGTGTTTATGGCATCCATTCCCCGCAGCAGGTGACCTTGCTCATCCTTCATTCCTTTATACAAGCAGATCTCATTTTATTGCAGTTTGCTTTACTGAATTCTAGAGATATTTTATTTTATCTTACAGATTGAAGGTTTGTAGCAGCCCTGCATCAAGGAGTTAACACTACTTTCCAAACAGCTGAGATGATGATTAGCCTTTTTTACCAATAATGAATTTTTAAATTAAGGTACGTGGACTGGTTTATAGACATAATGCTATTAAACTCATAACAGAGTCATATCTTTTATATACACTGTGAAACAAAACTTTAACGTGCACTGGGAAAACAAAGAAATGTGTGTGTTAATTTATTCCACTATATTCTTCATTGTAGTGGTCTGGAGCAACCGACAATACTCTGAAGTATGCCTATACATTCAATTAATACTAGTCTGAATTGAGACTGGAAATTTAAGTAAGTCATCCATGGAAAGGTAAAGAAAAAAAGCATTCCAGGAAAAAGGCATAGCTTGTGAAAAGTCATAGAATAATGGATGGCACGTGCTATTTTCTTTTTTTTTTAATGAGTTTTTTTTTTCATGTTTATGTTATTTATTTATATGCGGTGCTGAGGATCAAACCCAGGGCCTGACACATGATAGGGGAGTGTTCTACCACTGAGCCACAAGCCCAGCCCCACACATGCCCTTTTCAAGAAACTTCCAGCTATTCTCTAAGGTGAGAGCAGAAGACACACGTTTTGCACAATCAACACTTGAGAACCAATCGGAGTGACTTGTTGCTAGATTTGTTATTGTCTTTCTCATGTTTTGTTTAAAACCAACCAACAAAATTAATAAACATAAAACCAACCTTTGTTGTGATCCCAAGTTCCCTCTTATTCTTCTCTTCATGCTGGGTTGGTGTCCAGATTTTATCATTTATTACTTTCTAATATCTAGCACTTTAAATTGTGTT